TCCCCACCTGCTGCCCAGAGCCCAGGGACCAGGGACAGCAGCTGTCCTGAGGTCCACAGGTCTCGGGGAGGCAGAGGCAGGAGGGGCGGGGCTGGAGGGAGGGGCTGCAGGGAGAGGGACTGGGGACCTGACAAGGCTCCTGCCCTCCTGCCCCCGTGTGTCCCCGAGTTCTGCCGTGTTCCACAGTCACTGCTGCTCCGTGAGGGCTGGGACAAGGACTGAGTGAGGAGGTGACTGTGTGTTGTCAGAACACCCGCAGGAAACAGACGGCCTGTTTGAAGGGGGTGTTTGTCTGACGGTAATGACCACGGTGAGGAGAAGGTGCCTTAAGACCTAAAAACGATGCAGACAACTCCTCCGACTACAACAGACTGTGCTGCAGGCTGATTCACTCCCAGGGGTGCAGGGTCAGAGAGGACAGAGGACCCCACAACCTGCACAGATTGTTCCCTGACAACACACCCCTTACAGCACTTTCTCACACTGTGACCCGTGCACTCATGACTGACAGGCACAGGGACAAAGAATGCGGTAGCACCAGCCACACCTCCCGGTGGTCCTGTGACAGGTGACCCTTTATAATCGACACGATCCCCAGTGTGGAGTTGACCTAGGTGCTCCTGTCACTCTGGCTGTTAGTGACAAAAGTGCTCATGGCCGTGTTTAAGGGACACGGATGACCGTCACCTGGAGGCTTTGGTGTGCTGGCTGAGGACAGTGAGGTGGGTCAAAGGTCACAGCAGGAAGAGGTGTAAGAAATCCCTGACACAGAGACGGGGTTGGGTGTGTTCAGTGACAGGTGGGGTGACATTAGGGAAACCAACAAGGACGACTGGGCCCCAGGGCTCCCAGCAGTGGGAGCTGGGATCACCCCTGGGCCGAGGGCAGAGGGACAGGGAGGACTCCCTGGGGCTTGGAGGAGGCAGCTGGGGCTCAGGGGGGGCTCCTGGGGGAGGAGCTGGGGTGGAGCATCTCCTTGGGGGATGTAGGGGTCAGCGCTGTGCCCCCTCCCTCCCTCCTTCCCGTGTCCAGCCTGTGCCTCCCCTTGGCCAAACCCCAGAGTAACCAGACCCCAGGGGCCCAGGGGTGCTGTCCATGGAGGACTGACTCCTGGGCCAGAGGGGGTGGGACAGGTGGGGAGTGGACCCCAGAGCACATGGAGCCCAGCCCGGCCCCGAGCACAGGAGGGACACGGAGTCTGTTGTCACACCAGGCACTTCCTCTGTGCCCAGCCTGGGGCTCAGTATACCACCCATTTGTCTTATTCCTCCCCAGAGAGTAGAGGTTCACCACTGCAGTAGAGATAGGAAACGGAGCTCTAGATATTCTGTAGCTGGTGTCTGTGGAAAGAGAGACTGTGCAGGAAAGGACGTCCCCCAGCTCAGGGAGCAGAGCCAGGGCTGACGTTTAATCCATGTGACTGTACAGCACAGGTGACCATGACATCTTGGGGATGAAATAGGAAAATGGTAGATCCCAACCCTCCTCACCCGTCCCTTCCTCCTCAAACACAAGATCCCTGAGGTTTTCTTGACATGTCTAAGGGTCACATATAGGGTGGGCTTGACCTCCTGCCCTAACTGAGGCCTTGAAGGCTGAGGCTCTGATGTCCGGGCACCACAGCTGACCCCACGCCCTCTGAACCCCCTGCAGCCAATGTGTTTCTGGATCCAGACACCGCTCACCCCACCCTCTGTGTTTCTGAGGACAAGAGGAGCCTGCAGCGGGCAGACACACGGCAGAACCTGCCAGAAAACCCCATGAGATTTGACCAGGAGAACTGTGTGCTGGGCTGTGAGAGCTTCACATCGGGGAGACACTTCTGGGAGGTGGAGGTGGGGGAAAGAAAAGATTGGCGTGTTGGGGTGTGCAGGGAGGACGTGAGGAGGAAAGGTGGTGATAAAATGGCCCCCGAGAGTGGGTTCTGGATGGTGGGGCTGAATCCTGGGAGTGACTACAGGGCTCTCACCGACCCCGCAGACCCCACTGACCTGCGTGAGCCCCCCTGAGAGGGTGGGGAGTTTTCCTGGACTGTGAGCTGGGGGAGGTCTCGTTCTACAATGCCCTCGACGGGTCTCACATCTTCACCTTCCCACACACCCGCTTCTCTGGGCCTCTGAGGCCTGTTTTCTGGATTTTGACATTTGAGCCCACTCCCTTGACCATTTGCCCAGCACAGAAACCAGTGAGAAGAACCCTTGTGCCTGACCCAGGGCCTGACCCTTCCCTGGAGACCCCAGTGGCCCCATCATCAGCTGATGGGAATGGGGACCCTCAGGCTGAAGAAACGTCTCTGTTTCTCGCTGCCCAGCCTGGAGCTGAGGGTCTCCTGAACAGCAAAATGTCTCAGCAAGAAAACACTCGCTAAAAATACACTTAGTGACGGACTTCACTGACATTCATTCAGTTTTTCCACATGAGAGATAAGAAGGCCACAGTGTAGACAGTGAGTTAGCTTTCCAAAGGTGAATCAGGGGCTTCAAACAACCAGAGCTGACATCTACAGGTAACTTCACATGTACCTGGTGCTGTGCTACCTGCTTCAGGTGAATCTCACTCATCCTCACACAACTCTGTGAGGTACATTCATTATGAAAGTGGGGAAACTGAGGCAGCGGCAGTTCACTGATGTACATTATTTACACAGATTTTAGTGCTGAATGATGTTCATCCCTGTCCCTCCCCCTCCCTCTCGTCTGTCCCTTTGCAGCTGATTGTCCTGTTGGGCAGGGTCATGGGCAGCCCTGAGGGTCCCCACCAGGGCACCAAGGGTAAAGGTCACTGCAGGTGACTGTGAAGGCCACACCCCATTTCGATCCTTCAAGGTCAACTGTCAGAGCCATGGTCCACCCTTCACTGACTGGCTCTGCAGGACGCCGTGGTCCAGAGGGTGAACTCACAGTGACCCCATCACACAGGCTGAGAAGGGACCAGCGGCCACTTTCTGAACCAGCCTGTGACCTGTGGGCACAGAGCAGACCCACCCCCCCACCTCCCACCTGAAGGTCCTCTGTGAGCAGGACGGTGGGGGGAGGGGGCAGATGGACGTCAGTGGAAGTTCCATCACACGGTGGGACCCACGTCCAGGACAGGGACGCCCACCGCTGACCCCCCACTGAGGTTCCCGAGGTTCCTGTCACCTGTGGGTCCTGGGGAAAGGCCGCTCCTCCTCATCATCATCATCACTGTGACTGTTCACCAGGTGTCCCCTCCGCCCACATGTGGGTGTCATGTCACATGTGTTAAATAAATGTGTCAATAATTGTCACCCTTTGAGAGAGCTCTTTCTAGATCTAACCCCGTGGATGACTCACCAGGTTCACAGTTTACCTCCTGGGCACATTGTTACCCAATGCTTATTGGATGAACTTTCTATTTTTGCTGTAATAGTATAAATTTCATGACCTAATGCAATACAAACCTATTTTCTCACAATTCTCTGGGTCAGAATCCAGCATGGCTCTTGCCAGTCTGTGTTTAAGGTGTCTGCAGGCTGCTATTTCTTGTTTGTTTGCTTGCTTTTGTTTTGGGGTGACCCAGGGATGAGTCTGCGTTGCTGACTCTGGCTGCTGGCAGAGCTGAGTTCCCTGCAGTGACGGGACCCAGGTGGCCCCTCTTGCTGCTGTCAGAAGAGCTGAGACGCTCCAGGCTGGGAATGTCTGGGGTCTTTCTCGCAGGGACAGACGTGAGGGAACAAGTCAGGTGAGGGGAACGACATGGGACAGGGTCCCAGGGGTGGAGTCACTGCTGGGGGGGGCCGTGCTCGTGCGCTACCTGCAGTGTCCAGTGGAGACAGTGCGGAGGACGAACAACCTTTGTGAGCAAGGGGAGGGTGGCCCTGCTCCTTCATGGTGTCACAGCCCAGGACAACGCCATCGACCACTGTCATTTCCAACCAGCCAGATCCTCAGATGAGGCCACTCTGTGCCTGAGGGTGGCAGGTCCCTTATTTCTCTTTGGTGACTTTTTCACTGTGTGACCCTTGGGGATAGTTTCTCTCAGCACTTCAGGCCCCCCACAGACCAGCAGGTTTTGTCTAGGACCTCTCTACCCTGGCAGGGGGCTTCCTTCTGCCCGAGGGCCCAGTGAGGGGGTGTGTCCTGCTGAGCTGTGGGCATTGGGTCCTGAGAAGCACAGTGAGCTCAGTGGGGCCGAGAACAGGGGAGAAGGTGGAACCCCACGGAGTAGCCCCTGCTGCTGCTCAGAGATCTGCAAGGGTCCTCGCCAGAACATGCTTTGGAATGAGACACTTTAGACTATTTGTCTGTTCCCAGGTGTAGGGTCCAAGCCCCTCACTGAGATGAAGGACCACGAGGATTAAGGCATCTGGCTGGAGTGCACCTCCACAGGGTGGTTCCCAGAGCCCCGAGAAGTGTGGGGGGACCCGTATGGTGAGCTCATGCCCGCCCTGGAGGAGGCTCACACCGAGGACACAGACAGAGTCTACAGGGTCACCATGGCCGTGATCATCAGGGACAGCTCTGTGAGGACAAGCCCTGCTCCGTCAGTAACACCTGCTGGGCCAGGAGAGGGGCTCTGGGGTCTTCCTTCCAGGTCAGCTCCCTGCCCTCTGGGGGCCCGGCCCGTGGACACAGGACCCTCAGCAGACAGCTGGGAGCCTGAGTGGGGCTGGGGGAGGGGCGGGGCGGGGAGGGTCCTGGGCCCTGAGGAGCTCAGGCTTCAGCTGAACTGAGGCCTCCCCTCCTCACAGGGGGCATCACAGGGTCTCCCATCCCAGGAGGAGGAGCCTCGTCTCTGAGGGTAAATCTGGTCATTTTCCCTGTTGTGGTTCTGATGCTGCAGCTACGGTTGTGGGTTCAGAACAATCACACACCGTGGAGAGTGGTGGGGGCAGGGGGTGTCTGCACCTGGTGGTGCTGATGCTGAAGCCTCCCTCCTGCCCATGGGGTTTTCCAAGCACAGGGCTGGGAAAGTCTAAATCTACATACACTTATAAAGTCACTCAACAAACACTTAGCAAGGATCACATATGTTCATGGGTCAGTTCTAGAAACAGGAGATAAATCAGGGAACAAATGCATGAACACCCCTTCCCTTATGGGGCTCACATTGTAGAGAAATAGAAAGTAATCTATAAAACACTTAACTGAAGCCACAAGTAACATAATTAATTAAACTATTAGGTCAGATGATAATGAGTAGTGTAGAAAAATTAATCAAGGGAGAGTGACTGGAGGCTAGAGGCAGGGGAGCTGTGATGGAACTGGAAAGGTGAGGGAAGGCTTCATTGAAAAGGTGACAACAGAGTTTGAACTTCCGGTCAAGATCGAGGTGTAGGTAGACATACTGTGCCTGCTCCCACAACCAAAAGAAGGACGACAACAATTTAAAAACAAAAAACATCAGAACTTACAGAAAATCGAACTGTATGGAAGTCCAACAACTAAGGAGTTAAAGAAGAAACATCCATCCAGACGGGTAGGAGAGGCGGAAGGGGCAGCTGGGTGGAGAGGACTCTCAGCAAAGTGGTCGTGGAAGACCGGGGTAGGCAAGGCAGCCGCTGGTGGAGTGGGTGGTCCCACATTCATGTGCGGATAAACCGGGAGGAATATCTGGGGAGAGAGACAGATCAAGCAGTCTCAGGTCCCAGTGCACAGAAATAAAGCCTCAAACCACTGATTAAAAACACCTGTGGGGGTCAAGGTGGCAGCGACGAAATTCCCAGCCTCACAGGAGTTTGTTCGAGAGACCCAAAGGGTCCTAGAATGTACACAAGCCCACCCAACCGGGAATCAGCACCAAAAGGGCCCACTTTGCTTGTGGGTAGAGGAGGAAGTGACTGGAATCCCGCAGAGATTGGAGCAAGCTCCATTGTTCCCCCTGGAACCTTTCCCCACATACAGCATCACAAAGCAGCCATGAGGATTGCCCTGCCCTGGTGAACACCTAATGCTACGCTCCTTATAGGAAGCAGGAACCTAGGTAAAAAAAAAAAAAAAGGCCCAAGTGAAAGAACACATCAAAGCTTCGGAACAAATACAACTAAGTGACAAACAGATAGCCAACCTATCAGAGGCACAGTTCAAAACACTGGTAATGAGGATGCTCACAGGATTGGTTGAATTTGGTCGCAAATTAGATGAAAAAATGAAGGCAATGCTAAATGAAATAAAGGAGAATGTACAGGGAACCAACAGTGATGGGAAGGAAACTGGGACTCTAATCAACCGTGTGGACCAGAAGAAAGAAACATTCAACCAGAAAAGAATGAAGAAACAAGAATTCAAAAAAATGAGGAGAGGCTTAGGAACCTCCAGGACATCTTTAAATCTTCTAACATCCGAATTATAGGGATGCCAGAAGGAGAAGAGGAAGAACAACAAATTGAAAACTTATTTGAGCAAATAATGGAAGAGAACTTCCCCAGTCTGGCAAAAGAAATAGACTTCCAGGAAGTCCAGGAAGCTCAGAGAGTCCCAAAGAAGCTGAATCCAAGGAGGAATACACCAAGGCACATCATCATTAAGTTACCCAAAATTAAAGATAAGGAGAGAATCTTAGAAGCAGCAAGAGGAAAGAAGACAGTTACCTACAAAGGAGTTCCCAGCAGACTATCAGCTGATTTCTCAAAAGAGACCTTACAGGCAAGAAGGGGCTGGAAAGAAATATTCCAAATCATGAAAGGCAAGGACCTACATCCAAGATTGCTCTATCCAGCAAAGTTTTCATTTAGAATGGAAGGGCAGATAAAGCGCTTCTCAGATAAGGTTAAGTTAAAGGAGTTCATCATGACCAAGCCCTTATTTTATGAAATGTTAAAGGGATTTATCTAAGAAAAAGAAGATTAAAAATATGAACAGGAACAGAACGACAGAAATGGAGATCACATGGAGGGATAGCAACAGGGGAGTGGGAGGAGGAGAGAGGGGGAAAAGGTACAGGGAATAAGAAGCATAGACGGTAGGGAGAAAATAGACAGGGGGAGGGCAAGAATAGTATGGGAAATGTACAAGCTAAAAAACTTATGACACATGGAGATGAACTAAAGGGGGAGATGTGAGTGGGAGAGGGTGTGCGGGTGGAGGGGAATGAAGGGGGGGGAATGGACAATGGTAATAGCATAGTAAATAAAAATATTTTTTTAAAAAAGGTGACAACGGGGCAAGTGAGGGGTAAGCACCAGGGAGCAGGAGGGGCAGGTGCCTGGGGCCTGAGGCAGCAGCACGTCTGGCAGTTTCGAGGAACCTGAGGGGCAGGTGTGGGTGGAGGGACTGAGTGCAGGGAGAAGGGGAGGAGGGGGATCCGGACCTGGAAGGAGCCAGACCAGATGGGCAAAGCAGGTGACAGGAAGCCTGTGGTGGTCTCAGGGAGACAGGAGCCACAGCAGGGACTTGAGCAGAAGCCGGAAGGAGGGTGTTGCAGTGACCAGGCCACAGTGAGGGCGGCTCAGCTGGGACGGTGACGGTTGTGGGTTTTCAGTCATCTGGTCCTTCCAACGGAAACTGCAGGTGCTTCTGCTCTTCTGTCTCCTCAGCCCTGTCAAGCGACAAAAATGAAAGTATTTGTTAATGAGTTTGACATCCTTTGTTCAAAAGAAAACCACCCATGAATTATGAGGTGGTAGGACCTCACCTGCAGGGGACCCTCTCCCTGAGGGGTTTGGGGCAAGAACAAGGGGCACAGAGGAGGGAGCAGACGTCACTGACTAGGGGGTCAGGGTCTCCTTGTGAGGCAGCAGGTCCCATGTTCTGGGGGCAGGTGAATGGCCCTAACTCCTTCACGGGGATGCAGAGGGGACAGGGTCTCTCGTGTATGAAGCCAGTTTGGGAAGTCTGCAACCAAACAGAGTCCCAGAGATCATCTGTTTGTAATAGAAAAGGAGGCACATCTCAGGATGTGGAGAGAAAGTGGGAGACGTTAATTTCAGCTCCTTTGCTAAACTCTCCCCATCACTGGGAGCCCAGGTGTGCTCTCCCTGAGGCCCTGCCCTACTCACTCAGCAGGTAGAGGTGCAGGCTCAGGGGTTCTCCTCTGTGAGCTGCTTTAGGTCTGGGATCACGGGGCTTCATGGAGGTCCCACCCTGTGGGTATGTTCCCCCGGCTTCCTGGGTCCCCCTGAGCGCCCAGGCCTCACCCCCAGACTTCCTGTGCAGCTGACGTGCTCCTGGACCCAGACACCGCCCACCCCGAGCTCTTCCTGTCCCAGGACCAGAGGAGGGTGGGGCTGGGCCCCTGCAGGCAGAGCCTGCCCCACAACCCCGAGAGATTTGGCTGCCGGCCATGCGTCTTGGGTGTGCAGGGTTTCTCCTCGGGGAGACACTACTGGGAGGTGGAGGTAGGAAATGTGATGGTGTGGGCCGTGGGGGTCTGTGCAGACCGTGTGCAGAGGAAGGGGGAGGCCCTGCTGGTCCCTCAGAATGGCTTCTGCGTCCTGGAGCTGTTTGGAAACCAGTGCCAGGTCCTGTCCTCTCCGGAGAAGACCCTTCCCCTGAAGGAGCGCCTTCGCCGGGTGGCTGTCTTCCTGGACTACGAATGTGGAGACGTCTCCTTCTACAACATGAGGGATCGGTCCCACATCTACACGTGTCCCCGCTCCCACTTCTCTGGGACCCCGAGGCCCTTCTTCAGGCTGGTCTCTGATGACAGCCCCCTCTTCCTCTGCCCAGCATCACGGGGGCCCAGGGGGTCACTGTGCCTGAGGGTGGCCTGGTTCTCCATGGAGCAGGGACCCACCGCAGCCATCAGGACCAGTGCCCTGGTCTCAGAGCCCAGGAGAGATGCCCTGGCCGTCTCTGCTCACACAGCACAGCACCCAGAGGACTCGGCCCCTCCCTCTGGGCACACCAGAGAACCTGCCCCACAGGCCAGGGACCCCTCTCCAGTCCCAGCCCATCCCCCCCTAGGCTGTTGCTCTAGCAGCTGGTAAGCTTGTCCCCACGGGGCAGGGGCCAGTCTCAGGGGAGCCAGTGCTTCCACGTGGCTCCCAACCAAGGACAATGTGGGACAGTGACAGGCTGACAGCCTGCTGCTCTGACATCAGGGTGACCTGTGAGCATGGGACCTGAGGTGACACCAGACACTGTGGACTCGGGGTGAGAACAGCAGGATGTACCAGGTCCTGAGGGGGTGAGGAGCCACCACTGGGGGTCAGAGGTGGAGGAAGGGGGACCGAGAGCTGGGACGGCCCAGGCTGTTGGCGTGGTGGTCCCCCCATGACAGCCAGGGGTCCAGCACCAGAAGGGCCATCCCCACCGACCCTAGTGTTCCAGCCCTCGCAGCAGAGCTCCCAGGATGGAGGGTCAAAGACAAAAACAGAGGGATGACAGTCAAGGACACACCCAGACCTGGCCTGTGTCAGGTTCCCTGCAGAAAATATTCTCCATCAGTGAGAATGGGCTCTGATTTAAGGTCCCTTGTGATCAAGTGAGCAGTGAACCACGTACTTTCAAAGTCAGGGTCAGTTGGGGGGCCATCAGGTTCCAGCTTCTTGTTTTCAGGATTCGTTAAATACTTCAAGATTACTGAGCACCCCAAGTGTTTGCTCATTTGATTATATCTGAGTATATTTACTATATTGAATTGAAAGAGTATATTTTCTATAGTGAATTGAAAGATTTAACTATATTTGTTTAATTATTTTTACATTTTCATTTTGTTATTGATTTTAGAGGGAGAGGGACAGAGAGAAACATGAATTTGCTCTTTTATTTATGGACCCAGTGGTCCATTTCTTTTGTGCCCTGACTGGAGACTGGACCCAAGCCTCGGTTTATTGGCACAACGCTGTTTCTGAGATACCCACCGAGGGTTATTATTCTAATTTAAATGACATTTAAAACCTCATTATAGACTGATACAAATAAGTTTTGTGAGGAAAAACTTGCATGCGGAGCAAAATAAATACTAGTGAAGGGTGTGGCATCGACTTGCTTTGTAAATCGTGTCTGGCTGATACTAGGAGACTGGGGGCTCTTTTCTGCCCATGTAAGAACTCTGAGACCTGTACAGATTCCTTTATGAGAGTTCATTTAAGCCAGACGGATGACATCGAGGGGGAACAAGACCCAAACGTCCTGTAAAGAAAGACCGATTCACCTTCTTTCCTGCATTTGGAAGGAGGGAGGGAACCCAACGCTTACATCAGAGTGGGAGAAAGGAGAGGTGAGAAGACCCCGTGCTCCTTGGTTCAGTGAAGCAAACTGCTCAGAGCAAATCACCCCTGGGGCAGAGCACGGACATGAACTTGGCTGTCAGAACAGGGCTGGGAGGCCACCCTGGGACCCAGTCCTGCGAGGCGCTGCCCGCATCATCTCGGGGGCTCCACTCGGCTCTTCCCGACCTCACGGTGAGCAGCTTCCAGGAACCCGAAAGTGCTGGGGCTCAGAGAGAGGGGCGGGCTTCCAGGGAGCAGAGGCCCCGCCCCAGGTCCGTGATTGGTCTGTTCCCACGCAAATAAGGACTTCACGTCCTAAATACTTGAATGGTCCAAAGCGCGCTGTCCTGATCGGTCAGAAAAGAGGCGCCCTGATAGGCCAGAGCTGCACAGCCCCTATTGCACGGGGAAAGCTTCAGTGCCATTGGTTGACTTGGGATTGCTGGAACTTCCTTGTAAGGGCTGGCTCAGAGGGCGGGCGGGGTGCAGGCAGGCGGTTCAGCGCAGGCTTCTCTGTTTTTGCGGGAGAGGCCACTGTGCACCAATGGCTGCTAGGCTGTTTTTAAAAAATTCAAGCTGAGTTAGCTACCAAGAGCCCTTTCAGTCGAACTCTTTTTTCCCCCTCAAAGTTCACACTGCCATTCAAGTGATTCACACGGCCCACATCCTCCGGGTCCTCAAGAAAGGCCAGTCTCCTGGTGCAGCGTGGGCAGAGGAGGGAGAAGTGCCCTCACACGCCAGGGCGTGGACGGGAGTGGTCTCAGTTAGTGCTTGTCCTGAGTCAGGCTGCTGGGGAGCAGCTATCGGAGGTGGCCTTGACCGTAGGAAGAGTGGCCAGGGACCTGGGCCCCGACCGTCATTGAAATCACGGATAACTAGGCGTTTAGGAGCCAAAGACACCCACACATAAACAATCCACTGATCATTGTCAACATACGACTGAAAATGACTCCTACACTTATATTTTATTTTTTCCTTTTGGTTGTTACATTTATTAAAGCCAAGGGCAGGGGAACAAGGAAAGGCATAGGACAGTAGAAGCAACAGGAGGGACGCTAGATGGGGCTGCTCTGGCTCAGTGGGAAGTCACAGGAAAGGGGGCCTTGGACTCAGGTTCAGGGAGATGGCCTGAGAAAAGCTGCCCCTGCTTATTGCCCCCCTGGCTGCGTGTCTCCTGGGATCTCTGAGAGTTTAGGAGATGCCTGCCTTGGGGGACTGAGAGGAGAAGGGAAGGCTCAGGTGTGCTCCCCGGAGGGAGGGCACTTGTATTAGCGCATTTCAGAAGGTGTCCTCCCTGACAGGTGTGTAGGAGTGCCCAGGGGAGAGGGCCCTGAGGTCGGCCACTCTAAGCAGCATCAGATAAATAAACAAATAAGAACAGGGGTAGATTCTAATGAAGTGAGCACGTGCAATAAAATGTTCACTGTGAACAGAAAACACAGACTCCTGCTGACAGAGGAGGGGTCAATCCAGGTGAAAATCCGAATGCAGCACAGAGAAGGCTCGGAGGACAAATGATCTCAGCCACAGCCTCCCAACCCCCCACAAAAATTCCTAAATTTCCTTTTCCTGTGGGTCCCTGGCACCACTGTGCCTGGAAACCTGGTATTGAATTATCTCTGAGTCCATCAGAGACTGATTTCGGAGGTGCCGGGGAAGGTGGCCTGCGTCTGCTCTCTGTGTGCTCACACTCCCCTGGGCTCTGGTGCAAAGATGTCCACAGAGGGCCACAGTGACCGTTAAATTCAGACTCACTTCCCGCACACATTAAGAGCAGTTAATTTGTCTGTATTCCGCTCTAATGTCCATTATGATATAAAGACATAAAGCAGGAGAATATACTGAAATACCGATCATGCACTCCCACACCCAGGACTGAATCACGCAGGTGACCACAGAAAGAGACGCAGAGGCTGGGGGTCAGGGCTGGAGCTGGTCTGCACTGCTCCATCTAACATGGGGTCTCAGTTCATGCCAAACTTGCCTGCTGGTTTCTGCCCAGCAACTGATGAGACCCAGGCTCTGAGCCAATCAGGGAACAAGTGTTTTCAAAGGGGGACTTTGTCCTGTTTCCCTTGTTAAGCACCTTTTCCTCTTCCCCACCCTTCCTTCCACATCAGAGACTCACCTATAATAATTAACCATCAAGTACCTTTGCTCTGTGATTTTCATCTGGGAGTGTCAAGGTTAATTGAGGGTAGTTGGTGAAAGCCAGGGCCCAGGTCCCTTTAGGAGAGAGCCTGAGGAGCTGGGGGAGCCTGCAGGGTGTCCCTCAGCCAGAGAAGGAGTATGGTGCTGTGAGTCTGCAGGTGAGGGCACAGGGGGAGCGTGGAGCAGGGCAGGTAAGGTCTGCACTGGGACACCTGTGGGAGGGAGACAATGGGAACCTGGGAGCTGGATACCTGCCCGTCCCTGGGAACTTCCTGTGGTCAGAGAGGAGCAAGGACCCTCACAGTCTCTCCTGCTGGTCTCTGGGAACGAGTTCTAGGACATTCTAGAAGAGAGGTTGACACCTAACCCAAGTTTGTCTGTCTGTTGTTCAAAAGCCAATAATTGAGAGACAAGGCCTGGTGGGAGGAAAGTAGGTCCATTCAAGGGCCCACAGCTGGAGA